GCATGGTTGGGTGAGGGCCCTCTTCTGGTGGCAGACTTCTCACTGTAGTCCTCACATGGTGGAAAGGGCCAGGGACCTCTCTGGAACCTCTTTTATAAGGCTAATTCCACACATGAGAATTCCATGCTCATGACTTAAGCACTCCCCAAAGGCCCCACCTACTAATCCATCATCTTTGGGGGCCACGATTTCAACATTTGAATTTTGGGAATGAAATACACATTCAGACCATAGCACTACCCAAAACCACAGAAAGAACCTCCTGAAAGGATCAGAAGAAACACTCACAGGGCCAAGAATAGTGTCTGCTCCAAGCAGCTGAACTAGAAAACCTCACAATTCATGTAGAATGGTGTGGAGTACTCAGAAGGATCTTGCCTTAGAGTTGGGGGATAATTAGCCCTAGACTAAACACTGCTTTGGCTCTATCTAACAAATATTTAATGTAAAACCTGAAAGGACTGAACTCTTTCCAAGTAACTTAACTGTATCTCAGAACAAAGCTCAGGAACAAAAATAAGTTAAAATTCATAATATCTGGCATCCAATAAAAAATTACCTGGCATGTAAAAAAGCAGGAAAATGTAACCTATAATAAGGAGGAAGTCAATTAATTAAAACAACCAGAACTAGACACAAATGTTAGATTTAGCAGAGACATTAAGACAGTATTATAACTATAACCCATATGTTCAAAAAGTTAGTATATTGACATAGAAGATGCAAAAGAGACCCAAACTGAATACCTAGAAAGGAAAACTACAATGCTTGATGTGAAAGACACATTGGATGAGCCTAAGAACTAAGATTAGCATTGAGAAGAAAAGATTGGTGAATTTAAGACATAGCAATAGAAACTATCCAAAATGAAATACACAGAAAAAAAATAAGAAGAAAATGAAAAGAGCATCAATATTCAAAAGCTAAAAGAATTCATGCCTGCAGAGCCACACTATAAGGTTTGTTAAAGAAGTCTTTCAGGCAGAGGAAAATGATACCAGATGGAAATATAAAATTTCACAAAGGAATAAAGAGCACGAAAATGATAGCTATATGGATTAATATGTAAGATTTTATTCTTATTATTTAAATTTCTTTAAAAATAGTTACGTTTAAGAGAAAAACATTGTAGTGTAGAGTTTATAATATATGTGAAAGTGAAATGTATGGCAGAGATAGCATAAAGGCTACTAGGAGATAAATGAAATATACTATGGAGAGGTTGCTTCCTATAATATATATGATGTAGTATAAAATCACTTGAAAGTAAATTGTGATAAGTTAGTGATGTATACTATAAATCCTAAAACAACCACTAAAATGGCAAAACAAAAATTATAGTTCATAAGCCAACAAAAGAGAAAAAATGGAGAAAAATGTTCAATTAATTTAAAAGAAAGCAAGATAAAGAGGAAAATAAAAATCAAGAACATATGGGATGAATAGAAATCAAACTGCAAGGTGGTATACTTACATCTAACAATATCAATAATCTCATTAATGTAAATGGTCTAAACACCCCAATAAAAAGGCAGAAATTGTTAAAATGGATAAAAAAGCAATCTCCACTATTACTGCCTACACAAAACTCACTTTAAATACAGACACAAATAAATTAAGGCAAAGAAATGGGAAAAGATAAACTGTGCTATGACTAATCAAAAGAAAGCTGGAGTGGCTATACCAATATGAAACTAAGTAGATTTCAGAACAAAGACTATTACCAGGGATAGAGAATGTGTTTCATATGATAAACAATCAATTGAGAGGACGTGACATACTTTAGAATCAGAATATAAGCTGTTGATTAGATAATAGTATTGCATAGATGTTAACTTTCCTAATTGATAACTATTCCATGCTTATATAAGAGAATGTCCTTATTCTTTGAAAATAGTTAATTGTAAAGAAGTAAACAGGCACAATTTTATACAACTTACTATCAAATGAGAGAGAGAGAGATAAAGCAAATATAGCAAAATGTTAACCATGAATAGATCTGCTTAAGCATATTTAGGAAATCAAGTGCTATTATTGAAACTTTTCTATAAAATTTGCAACCAACACAAAATAAATGTTAAAAAATTATATTCACATCATTCCCATAGTAGTCCCTATTCAAAATAAGTATCCCAATTCTTTATTTCAAAGCACTTAAGTTATGATATCAAATATTTATTAAATGTTTATTATGAATCTACCTCCATAAAAATACAAGATCTCAGGGACAGGAATCTGCTCTTTTGTACAGTGAGGTAATCCTGAATTTCTAGAACTATACCTAGCACTTAGTAGATGTTAGAATTAATATTCTTGAATGAGTGAATAAATGTTAAAATTGGATAAAACAGGCTCTAGAGTCAGATGATCTGTGTCCAAATCTTAGTGTTACTGGATAAAACATGTGCAAGTAACTAAGCTTCTCAGGAACTTAGCTCCTAATGAATAGTTACCTATAAAAGAAATAGGGAGTGCGATATCAGCAAAAATGGTGGAGTATGGAACTCCAAAAGTCTGTTCCTCCATAAAAGCAATGAATAAACTGACAAAAACTGTGAGAATCAACATTTTCAGGACTCTGGAATCTAATCAATATCATACAGCAAGCACGGGAATGATTAATTGAGAAAAACACATACGAGTCTCAATGAAATGTGACATTTTAACCTACCTGGTACTATATCCCACTCCCCAGCTTGGCAGTGGCCTGAGGACAGCAGTATGTACCTGGCACCAGAGGGAACAGAACAGACCCTATTCCAAACAATTGTAGTTTTTGTTTTGACCTGTTTGGTGGCTTCTTGAACTGTCTCAAAAAGCTTGTTCTATTTCACCTAACTCAAGAACTATCCCAGGGTTGAAGCAGCTACCCAGGGAGAATTTGTCAAAAATACTTAAAATCAAGTGTGTTAGCTGCTGCTTCCTCAGGCAAGGACTAACAGTTGGGGAAAATAATAGTCTAACCTAAAAGCCTGAAAAGGAAAGGCTGGAGAATGAGATTCTTTGAAGAATAAGGATTTTGGAATGCTGCCACATAGTTCTGGGAATCTAGAAGGCTATGCACATATCCAGGTCTGGGAACATGATCAGAAAACACCTGAGAAGGCCCTAAGCTCTTGTCCCTGGCTGATCTTTGGGCTCTGCACAAGCAGGAAGTGAAGGCTAAGGTAAAATTGTAAAATGTGTGGCTGAGTGTTGAATGCATGTCCCAACACACACACACACACACACACACACACACACACACACACACACACCACCCACTAAAACTAGGAGGTTTTTTGTTTTGTTTGTTTTTGTTTTTGTTTTTAGTCCCAAGTATTTAAGGACATTTCTGTGAAATCATCAGCTGACCATAAATCTAACAGAATAGACTTTAATGATCACACATTACAAAGGACACACACTATACAAAACCAGTTGAAAAAAGTCATGAAACAAACACACAACAACAAGGGAAATGCAAATCAAAACCACAATGAGATACTTCACACCTACTAGGATGCCTATATCCTTTTTTAAAAATGAAAATAACAAGTATTGATGAGGAGAAGCCAGAACCTTCATATATTGCTGGTAGGAATGTAAAATGATATAGCCACTGTGGAAAGCATTTTGGCAGTTCCTTAAAAAGTTAAACATAGAATTGCCACATGACCCAACAATTCCACTCCTAGGTATACATAAAAAAAAAAATGAAAAACAAAAACTCAAACAAAAATGTGTACACAAATGTTTATAGCAGAGTTATTCATGATAACCGAAAAGTAGAAAAAACCCAAATGTCCATCAATGTGAATGGATAAACAAAATAAGGTATATTCATGTAGTGGAATATTATTTGGCCTTAAAAAGAATGAAGCACTGATACATGCTCCAGCGTGGAGAAACCTTGAAAACACTATGCTAGGTAAAAGAAGCCAGACACAAAAGATCACATATTCTGTGATCCCATTTACACAGCGTATCCAGAATAGACAAATCCATCAAAACAGAAAACAGATTAGTGGGTTGCTCTAGGCTAAAGAAAAGAATGGATAGTGACCACTTTGCGTGTATGGGACTTCTTTTGGGGGGGGGGTGACAAAATGTTCTGGAATCCAATAGTCGTAATGGTTGCACAACATCGTGAATGTAGTAAAAGCCATTGAATTGTACACTTTAAAATGGTTAAGATGGTGAACTTTACGTTATGTGCATTTTTGAAAAAGGAATATGGGATGCTCAAATATGATGATGAATTCTGAATTTTCCAGGAGGGAGTCTTTCAAAATAAGTGCCCAGGAAATATTAACAAGTGAGCCTCCTCCCAGCTGGCCTCTAAGGCATTGTTCTCTTCTCATTGGTCAGGGGCATTCTCATCAGCTCAGCATCCCTCTCCCACTGGCTGGATCCTTGATGCTAAGGGTCTGAGCGAGAACCCGGTTTCCCAGGCCCTGCAGCAGGGGAGAGAGGAAGCCGGGGACAACGGCCAAGCTTTCTTTAGGGGTCTGGGGCCCCACGAGCTGGATGAGGCTGGTCAAGCATTTCTCTCAAGTGAGAGGTCTTTGGTTGGTTGGAAAATGCCAGAAATTGACGTTAGGAGGGTCTGAACTGCCCCTAACTCTTGTGAGACGTCAGGCCAAGTGCCTTCTGGATGGTGCTTTCCTCTGAGGTAGGATAAAAATGAAGTGAGGACTCTGGGAGAACATATAGCCTGTGATTCCACGGCCTGGTAAATATAAAGCAAGGGGCACTGCCCTCGGAGGCCAGACCGGGGCGGACCCCCGTTCCGGCGTCCTGGGGCTCCGTCCCCCCCTGCCCCCGCCACCACCTTCCCGGAGAGCAGCGTCCCTCTGCAGCCCACGCACCCCGCGGACTCGGGGCCGCCCCTCCCCCACTCCTGTCCGCGAACGTGACCCACGATGGTCGGCGGGGAGGTCCGGGGGAGGAGCTCGGCCTCTGATTGGAAGAGGGGCGTGGGGGCGGGGCGACGGGCGTGGCCAACGGCAGGAGCCCGAGCCATTGGCCGTTAATTTCGGGCAGCGCCTTGCTTAGTCTCTTCGAGATGGCTCTGAGCTGACTTTGTAGCTGACAAACCGGTTTAGGGGCATCCCCCTCTCCAAGGAAGATCAGAACTGCTTTAAGGATGCAGGAAAATCACCGAGGCCCAAGCTGTGGGGAACTGGACACCCCCTCGCTTACCCCAGGTTGGTTGCAGAAGTTGCGGCCTTCGTCCCCGGGACCACCGCTCTGTCCTCCTCCTCTGGACGCTGCCCCGCGCTGCAGGGCTGGGGGCCGCTCGAAGCCCCTGCTGAGCCCCCTCCCCTTGCCGCGGGCTCACCCTCGCATTTCCACCCTCTTTTCTCCCTTTACCTGTGTATTGTTATCTCTCGTGGAAGGATGCCGTTCCCCTTCCCGAGGGGTCGCCGCCTGCAGGCAGTGGGAGAGCGCCGGACTCAAGGAGCGGGATGAGCCTGGCGGAGCTGCCCAGCCGGCCCGGCCCCCGTCCCGAGGCGCTGGGGTGAGGGGGTTTGCGGGATGTTCCTCCTTCTCCTTTCCTTCTCACCTCCCTTCCCACCGCGAGGGGAGGGGGCTTGGGTTGGACGGAACTGCAGACCTGGGTGGGGGCAGGAGATCTCCTCTGCAAGGCCGGGGAGGGGGGGCGGGGGGGCCATGGGAAACACACTAACGCCTTGTGAACGTGTCCTCTCACCTGAAACATGACAGGACGGTAACACCGCCGAGGTCAAGAGTCTCGGTGAGAATGGGAGTGACGTGAATGTCTTTTGAAAGCAAGTGTACTACAGATTGCTTGTAGTTTTAACTTGTGGTTTTAACGGTGTCAGCTTTGCCCCCACTGTCGCCTTTCCGTGTATCAAGTTTCTCCTGATTTCCTTTTGCTTTCACAGGACTGGTCACTGCCCATGATCATCAGTCAAGCCATAACCAAGAGCATGGAGGCTGTCTATTTGTGCACATGGTCATCTTCTAGGAATTAGGAAGCCACCCTTCAGGAGTCCCCATCACAGTGGGACTATGCCCGGCTCCTCCTTTTGCAGCCTTTACTGAAGTATTAGCTATCTGGAAAAGGATCTGCTAGTAGGACCTGGGGCTTTTGTTCCCGGTGCCACACACTCCTCTCCCCCTCAAGATACTCAGTACTGTCCCTTCAGGGAGGAGATTTGAGCTTTGCTCAGGCAGCAGGAGAAGACCTAGCCCTCACCGGTCTCGGTTCCTTCAAAGGTCAGGGCTCATAGGATTCCTCAGTAAAGTGGGCTGGGCATGAGCAGGAACCCCACTCTAGGCTTTCATATCAGTTCATCTTCTCCCCCTTTGTCCCAGAGCTCAGCTCAGACCCAAAGGCTCTTCCATTTACCATCAACATGGAAATTTGTCTCTTTACGTGGGTGTATTCTCCCTCTTTTGTGCATTATCTTGTTCCTCAAAACTGCCCTTCCACGAAGGAGGCCTGTGGAGTCAAGGGGCCTGGCCAGACACCCAGAGGTGACTGAGGCCGTCAGACCTCAGATTGGGTAGACCAATTTAATAAAGGCTTTATGTCCTTGACTGCCGGGACTTGTGAGTGGTGTGCTGAATCAGAAGACTGGATAGTCCTTCTTTCTTTCCATCCAAAACCAGTGCATGGTGTTTGTGCCACAGAGAAGGGGACAATGAGGGGAAGAGGGGGGAGGGCTGTTATAAGGGGTATCCCTGGCTCTGCCCACCTCCCTCTTTGAAGAATGCTTGTCACTGTCTCAGGGAGGGATCAGACACCAGTTGGTTAGCTAGACACCTGGCAGGGTTTTCTTTGAACATCTACATTGTGATAGGGCAAGAACCAAAGGAACAAATTTCTCCATTTGAATGTCATTAGGAAGGATGTAAAAGGGGGTAAATAGTGATTCATATTGAGGTCCTGGAATTTTATTAGTTACTATTTTTGTAACTTTGTTCTCCTAGTCCTTGATTAAGGATAAAGGGAGAATTAATAAGGAACAAATTCCTGGTGGGAGGGGGTTGTTGATCACAGAGTAGAGGTATCCTGTCAATGGGCCTGTGCTGTGCACCTGGCAGGTCGTGGGCAACTTTCCTGGGTCTCACAGTTGGTAGTGAAAGTCCTTGCAGAAAACAAAGCATTCACTCACTGGGGCTTCACAGGTTGCCCAGTGCCCTGCCCCCTCTTCCTTTCTTGTTTTGCCCATGTGCCATGGAGACCAGAGCTGATTTGGCAAGAGAACAGACTTCCCTAAGAGTCCCCACCTTGGGGCCCTTGCTCTGTGTTATTCTACTCCAATGATGACCACAGAATATTCTAGAAGTTTTCTGTAATGACTCTGGTGTCTCCTAAGGAGCAGGAATGGTAGAGTCTGTACAAAGCTGGAGCCACAATCATCAAGCATGGAGCTCATCGGAGCACAGGGAATGAGTTTGTGTGTTCTCTTCCTTGGGGGACTTATAAATTAAAAGTATGGAATCAGTTGTAATCAGAATACCACCTGGCAGGGATATTGATGAGCAGAGGAGGGCTTATTTGGAGACCTCTGATCTTTCCAGCCCTAAGACTCTGGACCTAATACCCATATAATAATCATTAGTGTTCTGTAATTTATACCAGTGTTATCATTGATCCAGGTCATTAATCATCATGAATTGGTGACTTCTCAAGTGCTATGGGTTATTTGCGTAGCTACATAGAGCTCTGTGATTTACAAACAAGGTAATTCTTGGAGGTAGAGAAATACCCTGGCCATTTTACAGATGAGGATACTGAAAACAAGAAAAAGATTCAACTCCCTTGAAGGAGAGGGTCTGCAGTGCATTAGCCCTGTTGGGCCTGCTGGCTTACTCCTCTCTCCAACCCCCGCATTTTAGAAAACAAGAAAAAGCAAATAGGGACTTGGGTCTTGTTTAATCCTCAGTTTGTCAGGACGTTTAAGACCTTCAGGGCAGTTTTCTATTTCTCATAGGCACTAAGACAGGCACAGGAAAGTCATTAAATATTTGTTCAATAGATTTCTCCATGTCTTCCACTTTCTAATGTTATATTTTCGCTTTTAACTCTCATCGCTCACACGTTATGATTCCTTCCAGGTAATTCACTGAGACTCTAATGTTCTTCACAGTTCTTAGGTAAACTTGGGGCAACTCCAATTATCAAGTGACTGATTACCCAGCTCTTCCCCTGACTAGTTATATGACCTACAGCAAGTTGTTTATCCTTTCCGTGTCTCAGTTTTCTCAGTGGTAAATGAATGATCTAACCTTTGTGTCATAATCCTTGTGAGGATTATGAGGAATAGCACATGAAATATACAAGATGCTTACTGCACTGTTCAGAAAATCACATGAGTTCCCTCTTCCCTGCTTGGACAGTCCTTTGTGTAAAGGACTCTTCAGCAAAGAGCTTTACTATTCATGGTGCCTCACAACCAGGAGGGGAGAGTCCTGAGTCTTCCCTTCTCTAGATGTTTCATGGCCAACCCAGATTCCATAAAACTTTCTGAAAGACTTCTACTCTTCTGTGCAACAGCTCTCCCCTCTATAAATTTACCCTGGAATAATCTGGAAGGCCAGGGGCTCATCAGCCTCAGTCATTCTCCACTCTTGTAGTGTCCAGTCATGCCTTCATGGAGACCTAGAAGAGACAAGTGGATTTGATGGTGGGGCCATGCCCTAGAGCTTCTGGTATTCATGGAAAAGCCAGCCCTTTCTTCTTTACTAAATCTTGATGTGCAAGTATAGACACAGCCATGATTTCCCAATGAGCTTCTCTTCTTATATGGGGTCAGGAGTCTTTGCCTTCCCACAGGGAAGAGCAAGAGCCTCAAGGCATATACAGCACAAACACTCAAATCCTGAAAACACCCTCAGTTTCTCGGTGGACACCGCTTGCCTGCTGGCTTCACTATGTAGAAGGCCCACAAGGACGCTCCAGATGGAGCCCCATCCCAGGCCTCTGCTCTCTTGCCCTCTTCTGGATGTGGATGGCAGATGGGCTAGACCTATACCCTGGACCGGCACAGCTGTGTCCTCCCAATTGTTCCTCTGATTCTGCCCTTCACCTCTTCCCTACTCATGCTTGCCTGATCCCTCTCACCTCCCCCCTTCTTAGCCAACAGTGGAGCAAGGTCTCTGACCCCGTTCCAGCTGGCCTGGCACTGGAGGGCTGAGAGAGCCTGATGCCCATGGGGAATTCCTGGCAGAGTCACCCTTTTCAGCCCTATGCTGCAACTCTCCAGGGTCCTATATCCCTTTTCACCTCTCCCAGGCTTGGTTGTCCTCCCGCCATGTGGATATTTTTTTTCCTTCCTCTTATTGCCTTCTGGGCCTCACTTCTATTTTGCTGTAGCAGGCAGCCACCACTGTAATGGCTGAGTGTGTGTGGGGGTGGGGGTGGGAGTGATGGGAACACATGTTCTGGGGTCTGAAGGTTTCATTTGAGACCCTCTTCTGCTCCATAAACTCTGTAAGAACTTGGAAAAAACAAACAACTTGCATTCTCAGGTTGGAAAATCTGTAAAATGGGGAAAGCCCTGGTATGTAAATCCAAGTTGTTAGGTAAGGAATGGAAGGAATGATAATCCATGTGAAAGGATTTACCTGGAACAGGAGATGCTGTACAAGCTCTCCAGCCCTGCTTTTGACTAAACGTCCCCACTTAGCTTTCTCACCACCCCCCTCTAACTCTGCAGACAAGGCTGGGCGTAGGGAAGAAAGCCCAGTTAACCACCCCTGGAATCCGATACTCTTGCCTCAGCCTGCTCCATCTTGTTTTCTACCCCAAACAGAGGCAGAGGGGCTCGGGCAAGAGCATCTTGTTTTCTTATGCCTGACACAGACCCCCATTCCCTGTTTTCCATACCTCAGGGGAGATGGAAGGCCCTAGGGCTCAAGAGAAAAAATCCCAGAGAAGTCCCAACCTCTGCTTCCTTAATAAGATTGGTCAAGGCTGAACTAACCTAAAACTGTTCGCAAGATTCCTCAGAAGAGAGTCTCGTCAGAACTCCACAAAAACTTTGATGATCAAGGAAGAATTGGGCCCCTTTACTTGATGACTGTGGAGGCCCACTCCACCTCCTCCCAGACCTCTGGGGTGACCCACACTCATCTCCATTTACCTTCATCATGAAAGCCAGGCTCTTTGTGTGTGGGTCACCCTATCCCCTGCCATATGTTCTGCTGCACCCCACTTTTCCCTTAAGCAACTGTGAAGTGTCAGCTCTACCCTAGGGGCCTGCCCAGCTGTGTAGCACCAGATGGGGTGGGCCATTTCTCTAATATTCCTTCTTCATTCCAGTTGGGGACTTATGTGATGATTCAGAAGTAAAGACTAAACGGAGTCACTTTGAATCTCCCCACCTCAAGCAGGTGGATGGTGTTTGTGCTAACAGGGATCAGGATATTAAGGAGAGGTGGAGACGGCTACTCAATAGACTGCCCCAGGTCCTCCTACCACACCTTGGGAAGTGCTCACTCCTAACTCAAGTAAGCCAGCCTGTCACTGGGTGATTTACCTGGCATCTGGCAGAGTCTTCCCATGAGCATTTACAGCCTAGAAGGGAAAACGTCTGTTAACCCAGAGAAATGGAGGAAACCAGTGGGGGGCTTGGTGGAAGCATTTGGGTCATTCCAGAGCCCCGTTGTTAGATTTTGGCTATTATTCCATACCTGGAACGAGACTAAAGGGTGAGCAAGGATTGGGGAAGTGATAAGCGAGGGAGCCCAGGGGATTTTCCAGGTCCTCCTTGCTGCTACTGGGACTGTAGATTTCGGAACATGAAGGAGCATCAGGGGCTGCAGAGGCTGCCATGTGCTTTCTGCCCTTTTCCAGCCTCCTTCCTTTTCTCAATGTCATGGAGACCAACACTGATTTGGCAAAGGGAACAGCATCCTCCCCCTCGGAGATTTTCTCAGCCGAGGTCCTGGCTCTGTACCTGGTTTCCTACCATGATTCTGGCCACAGCACTCTGAGAGCTGCTTTCTGTCTGGCCTCTGGATTTCTTGTGAAGGCAGGAATGATGGCTCCACACGAGCCCACCAGGAATACGGAGTCATAACCATCAGGCCTTGATCTGATTGGAGTATGGGGAGCCACTTCCTGCCTGGGGTGAACTCTGAAATTCATCATGCACAGTCTTGCTTGTAATAAGATTAACAACAGTTTTCATGGATATTGAACAGAAGATTCTAATACCCATTGAGGGAGGCTAGAGTGGATGGCTCCTAATAGCTCTGGCAGCCCTGAGATTCTCTGAGTCTGAGATACCTAATATTATCACTAATTCCCTGTAATTTATATTAATGTCTTCAGTGATGCGTATCATTAATAATAATGACTGTTATACTCTGCCTTTTCCAATCTGATGTGTAATCTATAAAACTACATGTACTTCCCAGGTGTACTTACCAAGGTCGATACTTAACAATTGATACTTCATCAGAAAGGAAACCAAGGCTGAGAAATGGCTCTGTATCCAGCTCTCCTCCCCCTGAAGGGCCCCTCACCCACAGGAAGGATTGCACTTGCCTTGGGCTACTCAGGACCGCGCCCCCGCCCCCAGTTCTCTGCAAC